CCAGCACAGCTGTTTGCAGTCTCCCGGCTGACTGCTGCAGCTGGCCTGGGCTCTGGGCAGCTGTAACAGGTAGCTGCAAACAGCTGCACCAGGCTCCACAGCCCCAGCACCAGCTCCATGGTAGTTGTGCATGTGCCTCCAGGTAGGTGGTAAGGGAGGGGCTAGGGTTGCGCTACCCCAGCCCCTTCCCTGTCATGCGCTGTGAACTACACGTGCAGCTGCCGCTGCCACAGAGCCAGTGCCCAGAGCAGCTGTTTGGAGCCTCCTAGCTGCCTTCCACAGCCTGCCCAGACTCTGGGCAGCAGTAGTATGCATCTGGAAGGCTGCGAACAGCTGCACTGGGCTCTGCAGCCCCAGCACTGGCTCCATAGCAACAGCAGATGCACACATGCCTCTGGGCGGACAGTGGGGGAGGAGCCAGGGTTGCACTGCCCCAGGCCCTTTCCTGGCCGTGTGCCCAGAGGTGCACACGCAGCTGCCGAAGCCACAGAACTGGTGCCGGGGCTACGCAGCCCCATGAAGCTGTTTGCAGCCTCCCAGGGCGTCCAGGCTCTGGGAAGCTGCTTGCAGGAGCTGCCCAGATTCCAGGTCAGCTGTGGCGTGCCAAGGAAAATGGCTTTGTGTGCTATGATCTGGCACGCATGACAGGGGTTGCTGACCCCTGGCAACTTTCCCTTAAAAAGACAGGAATTTTCCCAATTCTAGGTCCAAGAATAATCTACACAATAGATGAGTTCCTATGGCTCTTCTTTCAAATTTGTCATTTTATGCAAAACAGTAGAAGCACAAATGCTTTAAAAATAAAGGGCCTGATTTTCTACTCTCTTATTTCTATTATGCATTGGTATATCATCACTTATTTCAATGGAATTGTCCCTAATTTGCATCAATGTAAATGAGATCAGAACCTGGCCCATTGTGAAACCTCTATTAAGAATTACTTTCATTAAGCATTTCTTATCTTAGCGAGCCTACAGACAATGCACACATTTTTAGAAACTTTAGTAAAATTATTTTTCTATATAACCATTTTTTGCTAGAATTTAGGTGGTCATTTAAGATAGGTTTCACTGTAAAACCTATTATCAGTAATGCTTTGGCCATTCATTCAGTGAGCCTTTTTTTGCAAAACGCATTTGTGATAAGAGTTTAGAGCAGAGGTGGGCAATTATTTCAGCTGGAGGGCCACTTAATGAGTTTTGGTGAGCTAGCGAGGGCCACAAGGGTAACCCCACCCCTTGACAGTTGCCCCACCCCCTCAATGCCATCTTGGGACTAGAGGTCCCACCCACTAACCCCTGACCTTTGCTGCCAGAAGTCCCTCCCTTGCCCCCAGAAGTACTCCTTTTGGAAGCGAGCAGTTACCATCTTTGAACCAGGAAAAAACCCTACTCATTTACTAAAAGCCTAACACCTATTACAATATATTTCAATTTTATTACAAAAAATATTTTTGTCATGATTTGTGTTTGTGATTATGTTGTGTATACAGAGGTGACTGAATAGCAGCTCAAAAATAAAGTCTTAATCTTGTATATTGTGTGGAAGGGGTGGTTGGGGGGTGTGTGTGTGTGGGAGGGTTTGTGAGAGGGTGTGGTTCTATGTGTAGTGGGGCATAGGGTATATTATGGAGGAGTGTATATGTGGGGGAATTGTTGGGGCAGGGTGTGGGTTTGTGGGGTGTGAGGGAGGGTGGGGGGATATAGGGACCCCTCTACATACACTCCCCACCCACGGCACACAGGCCCCACCACCAATGGCAGCAGCAACAGCAGGAGGAGGCAGGTGATCTGAGTGCTTGTGGCCACTTGGCAGTACATGGCTTCAGCCAGAGCTGCACATGGTGGCAAGAAGCACTGCTAGGCCAGCCTGCTTCTATTGTGCAGGGCTCCCCATAGCACGCATGCAGCTCCTGGCATTCGTGAGCCACCAGGGGGAAGCCCCACATGACAAAGCCGGCTGCCTTCCCCACTCCCGGCTGTCAAGGAAGCAGGAGGCAGAATACTTGCAACTGCACATGGTGGGGAAGGCAGCCAGCTCCACTGTGTGGGGCTTCCCCTGGTGGCACACAAGTGCCAAGAGCTGCATGTGCACTGTGGGGAGCCCCATGCAATAGAGGCATGCCAGTCTTCCTGCACTCCTTGCTACCAACTGTAGCTCTGGCTGGAGTTGTGTGCCGCTGGGCAGCAATGCCTGTGTGGGCCATGAGCGACCTGAGTGCCTGCTGCCTCTGCTGCTGCTGCCGCTGGCAGCGGAAGCTGTGCATCATGGAGAGAGGGAGTGTGTGGAAGTGTCCCCACACTCCCTCACCTTCTATGACACCCAACACCAAGCTCCATGCTCCTGGTGCCCCTCTGGGCATGGGCTCCATGCCCCCACCATCCCCATGCTCCCTGCCCTTGCCCAACTGCAGCTTTCCCCATCCCTGCTGCTTCCCTACTTGCTGCCCAGAGCGAGCGCTGCAGCAGGGAGACAAGGGGAAGCCACTGAATGCTGGGGAAGCTGAGCAGGTCCAGCGGCAGCAGCAGCCCCGCCCGGAAGCCACATGCTGGGTAGGCCAGGCCCTTCTGTGCACAAGGGTGGAAGCAAGGCACATGAGCTGGGCAGGGTACAATTAGTTGGTGGGCACCTGTGGGCCAGATAAAATCACCTAGTGGGCCAGATCCGGCCCATGGGACATATTTTGCCCACCCCTGGCTTAGAGTATTCTAAAGCACACAGTATTCCTGCAGAAAGAAAAAAAGTTATTTGCAACAGAAAAACTACTGAATGTTTATACTGAATCTTAGTTCAGCTTCAAATCTACCCTCCAGTCCTAAAGAAGAGCTTCAACACGTGCATTCATTAATGAACTGTATCCCTTCAAAAACTGTACATATTTATACAGTCAGGATTTGGATACCAAGGCAATTGAGTCACCAGATCTCAACAAGGCACTAGAGCAAGGCATTTTGAGATATCAAACATTTGGACTTAATTCATAGAACAAGATGACTCTAGTTTCTAGTGCTCGCAGCCTTTCTGCCTTCAAGGAAATAAAAACAATCCCAAAGTACAAGGGGGAAAAAAATCACACATCATGTACACAGCAACTAGACCTCACATTAATAAACATTTATGGGAATGTCTGGGAAAATATGTACACCCTTAAATAACTTCCATCATCATCAGCCACTCCGTTTTATTTTATAGGTTGTCCTTAGCTCCATAGAAATAACACTGGTTAACACGGAACTAAATTAAGCAGATGCTAACTAAAGACCATCTGGAAACAAACAGAACAAACAAACATGGTCAATAACCCATGTCAAGTATTCAGGGTATTGCTGAAAAGGACTTCTGTGTATTCATATTCTCCAATACATTTTGCCACCACTGTTAACAAAAAAAAGCAGAAGCATCTAAGACTTCACTATTTCTTGTTACCCATCATAATTCAGATGTATTGTGCAGTAGGTCCCTAATGACTCTACTTCAGTTATTAAAAACTACTGATATAGTCAGATTTATCTGGGTAATTGGACATTTTCAGAAATCATCTGGGAGAGAAAAAAAATGAAGGTACTGCCAAACATTTACTACTTATCACTACACTAGGGGAGTACATCAAGGGCTGGGTGAGCAACTGTTCACCAGGACACCCAAGGGGAAAATGAGGAGTAATGGCCACAAAGTCCTGGAAGACCAGTTCAGGCTCAACATTAGGATAAACTTCTTCACAGTCAGGGTGTCCAGACTATGGAATAAGCTCCTTCCAGAGGTGATGCAATCACCTACCCTGGAAATCTTCAAGAGTAGACTAGACAGTCACCTTGCTGGGGTCACCTGACCCCCAGTTATCTTTCCTACTTGGTGCAGGGAGCTGGGCCCAATGATCTTCTGAGGTCCATTCTGGCCCTACAATCTATGAATCTATGAATTATGGAAAAATTCTTTGAAGACTCCATTCATTACCAAGGACATGTGATTTACCAGATTAAAATCCCTTAAACGTTTCAGAAATCCCCTGATAAGGGAACTCATGATAACATTACCCTTGTTTTTAAAAGTACGTTGTTTTTTCATATTACCACACACATGTATTTTTGATACAAACAAAAGATTATTTATCAGCCACAAAAAATAAATATACGCTTGGATATCATGTGGTCTAATTTCAACTGCTAGCAAATCCTGCATCTCAGCTCAAAACTATATAATCTTTTTTAATGTTTTCTAAACATAAGAACATCACCTTTCTCTGTCTTTAACTTACATAAATATTGTACAGAATGATGTCAAAATTTAGTCTTAAACTAATACTCAAAAAGATGATTAGGAGCTACCAGTAGATTTTGTCAATTCAGAAAGGTCTAAAATTGTATTTTCCTCTTTCTTACCAGTCTACTTTTCCTCAGGTTTTATGATGCTGTGATACCAGAGATGGATGGGCAAACTAGAATGGATAAAATAATCATCTACTTGAAATCTGAATCAAAATCTGAAGATGCATGAAGGTTTGAATAACATATTTCACAAGTTTCCATTGTTTCATATTACCAGAAACTGAAACAATGGTTCAGTTTTCACTGGAAATTGAACCATCAAAATACCATGCAAAATTGCCAATCATCACACAATTTATGGTCTAACCAGAAATGGGGTATTACCATGATATTATGATACAGTTCGCTCTCAGACCATTCCTAGGTCAGTTTTTCAGATGCAAGAGATTGGCTAAATCAGCCGTTACACAAATCTGAATTTTTAGGTCCTGATTCTAAACAAACCTTTTAAGGTTCATCAATTAATGACTACCAAGCAAAAGTAGTGGCAAGAGAACAGAATGTGCAGAGTACAAAATAAAAAGGTGCCACAAAACCAGTGGCTCTTATTAAACAGTATTTCAACAATAATATCAACCCCCCTCCCAAAAAATGTAAACACCAGTCCTGGTGATACAAAACATAGCAGAAGCCACAGCTAACGTTTGGGTTGTGTTGACACAAAAAAACTCTTACTTGTCCAGTGCTGTACTAGTGGGCATGCTCCTTCCAAATCCTCGGACACCCATCTGACGAAAATATGGAATGCAAGAGAGATTGGCAGCAATAATGGCCAGTGAATCAGAAGCATTCACGAAGAAACCATTCTGGCCTAGGATCATGTAGCGGTCCTGGAGAAGAGAAGAAAAAATATAAAAAGTGTCACAGAGTAGATTTCAGGCAGAAAAGCTCATCTCTCTCATGACTGCAAATTTATCAACTTCCCATCAGGCCACTTCTATCTCCAGCCCTGTCAATAAAAGTTCCAAATTGCTCCCAGCCTCTAGTCTTCTAGAGTGAGGACAGACGTAACACTTAATGTTTTAAATGCAGTTTAAACTGCAAGGGCATTTTTACACGTGCTCTGGGGGGGGAGGGGTATTTTAATTAGAGTGGATCTCAGGAGTTTCTTTAGTTAGAACACCCTCAGCATCTTGTCTATTCAGTGTTCTGTGTTTCAAAATGGCAGCGGGGGCATTTTAACTATAGTTAATTCAACAAGCTTTAGTTAAAATGCCCCTACCACCATTTTGAAACACGGGGATGCTGAATACACAAGATGCTGCAGGACGCTGGATTGTTCCCAAGAGAATGCTCCAGCGGACTCGATTAAGCAAGTCTGCTCCACTGTGTTCTAATCAGAATGTGACAGTGCACGTGTACTCATGCCCCAAATGTCCAGATGTATAAACCAAATCAGAATGGTTTAAACCTCTCAGAACATTTCAAAAGTATACTTGGCTAATCAGGTATTATTTTGAAATGATCTTCCTCAAACTGGTTCAGTGTTATGTACCTTTTGTGGCTAGTGGCTGCTCAGTCCCCCAAGTATCCCGTGCTGCACCACTCCTCAGTAATGCAGGGATACAGCCAGGCCCCTGGGGCAAAGTGGAAGCAGCAACTTCCAGTTTGAAATCATGAACGCATGGCTGCCAACAGCAGCAACCACTTTTTTTTGCACCTCCTGTTCCCTCAAAGCAGTGCGCAGGGAGTTTGCCCCTATCGTCCCTTCCCTCTCTCCTGTCCCCTCCCCAGCCACTGCACTCTCATCAACCCCTGCACAGCAACTGACACCTCTGGTATGTAGCCAGATCTCTACTGCCCCCGCCTATACTGCCTGCACATGACCCCATCTGTGCCCTCCCGGGGTGATTTGGATTAATAGAATCATAAAAAATGAGGGTTGGTGGGAGGAAGGTCAGGTGCACAGAGGGAGCACTCCTGCTTCTGGGTTTCCAGGGCAATGGGAACCCTGCTGGGCTACCCAATGTCTGCAGTTTTTAAACACCACTTTCCCCTCAAGTTGCTTGTCAGTTTCATTTCATGGAACTGACATGGAGACCTGGAGCAGCCCCCTAAAGCACCCAGTACCCCAGGAACCCAGAAGCAGAGGTACACCCTCTGCCCACCCTGCCATTGCAAATCACTTGGGATGCCCCAAACCCTGGTAATTGCCACAAATGAAATGAAACAGATAAGCAACTTGAGGGGAAAAGTGCTTTTTAAAAGTGGTAGACACTTTGGGCAGCTCCAAAAATACCCATAAACAGGGATCCAGGCACTCTCCCACTTAGCCACTCCTTGGGGAAGTCTTAAGGCAGTAACCCAAGCCAGAGACCTTTGGCAGCCTCCTGGAGCACCAAGCTCACTGGGAAAGAAGAAGCAGGGATTCAGGCAGCCCCCCACATCACTCCCAAATCAGCCTGCAATGCCCTGAACCCTGGTACATTGCCAAGAATGGAACTAAGTTCATGAGAGGCTTAGGGGAAAGTGCTTTTTAAAAGGCTCCAACATCCCCAAAGCACCCAGCTATCAGGAACTCAGCCAGGGGGCCAGGCAGCCCCTCCCCTTCCTCTCCCCAAACATCTTGACACACAGATTGTGGTAAAGTACAAGAATGATTCTTTATTGACCTCAGTGTTAGTGAGAAGGGGGAATCAGAAAACTGAAATTGCAGGCAATTGACATCCTGATCTACCTCTTCCTCAGCATTCAGTCAATCACAGTCGTCCTCCCTTGCTCAGGGAATATTGGGGAAATTCAGGCACTCCCACTGAAAGGCATGCTAGGCTGGGTATTCACTACTACCCCTTGGTGGCAATCTGACAGCACTGCAATGCCTAACCTGTCCGTTTTACTTAGAACCCTTGGCAGGATATGTGCAAACACCTCTAAGACAGGCATTTTCAGCCCTGCAGCACACTCAACAGAAAGCCTGAAGGCACTCCAGGCCCTGTGTCACCCTGGGCAGGCCACAGCCTAGCTGTGCCTACCTGCCTGCACCCCAGCACGACTGCTAGGACAGCACCATCCAGGCCAGCAAGCTGCTGCAGCTTACCGCCAGGCATCAGCCCCCAGGGCCAGCTGCTAGCAGCTTCTGTCTAGCAGGGCCAGCACCACCTGCCTGCAGCACACCCCCAGCAGTCTGCCTTGCGCCTACAGGTCCTGCAAGGCATTGCCTCTGCTGCATGGCTGCTAATCCCTTGTCGTGCCCCTCCACTGGAGCAGCTGTCCAGGGCCGGCAACACAAGGACAGTCACGCGGGGGCCCAGAGAGCTGGTGCAGAACCCACCATGGCATCCTCCTCATCCAGGCCCGTGCCCACATCTGTACCCATCAGCCAGGTCCCCAACTGGACCAAGGAGGAGACTGGTAACCTCATGGTGCTGTGGGGTGCTGTTGCAGGGCACTAGGGTGTCCTGCTCCTTTTAAGGGCTGGAACTGCTAGGGAGAGAGCCCTAGCAGTCAGTTGGAAACCCCAGCTGCTGGTTACCAGGGCAGCCAGAACAAGCTAGTGGCCCACACCTGCCAGCGGTCAGCTGACCAGAAGGGGCAGGGCCTGGCTCATATATAAACCCCAGGGCTGAGGCCAGGGAAACAGTTCCTGGCTAGCAGCCAGAGGGGAAGGATCCTCCAGGGAGGAAGTGCCCAGTGATGCTGCAACTGCCTGGTATGCTGCACCTAGGGCTAAGGGGGCTCCATGAGCTCCACAGGTATCTTTGCCTATTAGACACTTAGTGCCAGCGATGAAACCGGATTCTTTTAAAGGGTCAGAGCACACCCTGACCTTTTGTATTATACTATAGCCCAGGGGCTTGTGTTTTGTTTGCTGTTTTATAAGACTGGTGGTTTGGGTGAGACTATTTGGGGAAGGAGGAGGCCTCATTGGGGGCCCACTGCAGTGCACCAACCCCGGCGCCAGAGAGGGCGCAGCATTCGGGGTGCACTGACCCCGGCGCCAAAGAAGGCATGGCATTTGAGGTGCACTGACCCCTAGCGCCAGAGAGGGTGCGACACTAGGGCTGCGGAGAGCCCAGGCACCAGTGAGGCGCAGAGATAGGGCTGCAGAGAGCCCAGAGAGGACAAGGGGGCCAATTCATACCAAGGCCCAGACCAAACAATATCAATGCCATCTGCGAGGCTTGGGGCATGGTAAAGGGGCGGTTGGAGCCAAGCATATAACCCATAAGGCTGGGGTGTGCCCGGGACATCTACTTCGAAACAGGACCCACGGGGTTCAAGGAAGTCCATCAAACCATGTCCAAGAGGACTTAAAGGCAGCCTCCCTATACTATAAAATCCATCAAGACGTGGCAGGTCAGAACTGAGGGTGCCCAGCGGGCCAAATTGGCACGGTCGAGGGGCGTTAGGGGTAACACGGCCATCCTGGGGGAACCTGTCCCATGACAGGCGCAGAAGTGCAGCACCAGTTCAAGCGGGGTGAGCACTCCAATGCCCACACTTATGAGGCACTGTCAGGCCAGATGCAGGAGCAAGGTTACAACCAGTCGGCACAGCAGTGGTACATAAAGGTCAAGGCTTTGTGGGCTCAGTGGGTCACTGTGACTGATCATGATTGTTGCTACAGCTGTGCCCATAAACCAATGGCCTTTATGCAGCAACTGACAGCCATCCTTGCACCCCAGGACCCAGGCCACAGCTGTGCTATCTTCAGCAGCACAGGTGGCCTGCCTGAGCCCCTGCCCTGGCCTGGCACCTCTGGTTACATCAGAGATGTGGGTTTTCTGGAAAATTTTGAATTGGAAGATTTTTCCAATGCCCTAAATAGAGGGTGATCTGATTTTAGAATGTTTATTTGACTTATATTTAGTAAACAAAACCAAAAAAGTACCCCCATGTTAATTTAAAGTTCCAATAGCCATAAGTATTTGAACTGAAATATTTGATTAGAAAAAAAATTAAATACTACACACTTAATGTGGTTTAAATGTTATATGCAAACAAATTCAAAGTTTTTATGTGGAAATAAATTATTTTTATTGGAATACTTGTAAAAATGTAAAGACAATACACAATAGCATGCACTTCCCTTACATTGTTTGTTTAAATTTAAGAAAACAAATAAAGGCACTGAAAACTGTTGACACACTAATTTTAGCACACCCAAAGAACTGTGCATGATATGCTGTGGTTGTCCACTCATCTATTTCAACAGTGTTTAACTCTCGTCCACTGAGGTCATTGCAGCACCTCCAGTTTCACTGTCACTATCTGTAGAACCACTTGCACTACTTATTAGTTCCATTTCAGAATCAGATTGAGGCAAATCTGATTCAGAACTACTTGAACCACATTCTTGTTCGCTAAAGGATGGTTTTACCAGTAAGTCTATGGGCATGGGCAACTTATTACACTGTATCTTCACTAATTGTGCTTCTGATTCTCCAGAAGTAAGAGATTTTGAGAAATAGAAACAAGCTTAGCAGTGCGTTCATTTATTAGTCTATTCCTCTTTTTTGTCTTGATTGAGCTGACAGCCTTCCAGTTCTGTTCACAAGAAGCTGCTGTTGATAGAATGCTTAGGATCCTTAAAGCAATCCTGGACAACAGTCGGATGTTATAGTATCCCTTCTACCATGTGAGAGGAGACATAGTCTCTGCTGCCCGCCAAATGATGTCTTTCCTCCAAAGTTTTTCTTTTGCACGGTACTTGGCAATGTCTGTCATCATGGTTAGGTGTTGATGTTGGGGACATTATTAGCTACTTCCATAATTGTATTGAGAGCAGCAGATAATTCATCTTCTGATTAAAAGTTGTCCTCTGTGTTGAGGATCCAAAGGTTTGCTGCTAGATGAACTGGATGAAAGGAAAACTCAGATCTCTTAGTAA